GTTTATTTTTTTATTTTTACTTGTCATCATTGTTACTTGCTCTGCTTGCTTCTCCCTGTCAAGTCCCTCCCGAGAGGGAACGCTGTGTAGTAAGTAGATGAAGGAAAGGCTGCCAGGGCTGAGGGACTGCTGGCTCTGCACGGACTTGCTGTGTAACCTCGCGTGAGTCATTTCCTCTCTCTGCTCACAAATGGGAACGGGGGGAATATTTATTCTGGAAGGATGCTACGATTTGTGAAACGCCGTGAGACTTCTGGCTAGAAGGTGTTAGGGACGAGCGCTGTTGGCTGTAGCGTTGTCTGAACGGAGGCAGTGCTGATAGCTGGAGGGAGAGGGAAGGCGTTGGGCTGGACGCCGCGCGGCTTTTTGCAGTTGCGTTGGGACGGGAGCCATCTTCCTGTTCTGCTGGGCTGATGCCTGGCACCGTGGGGTTCTGGCCCGCGGCGGAGCCTCCTGTGTGTGTTGGCGATGGGAGATGGCAACTTCCCCAACGAACTTGTGGTTTGCAAGAGGAAAAAAAAGACAAAGAGAATCCTGTGCTAAATATAGTCTGTGTCATTTGTTTTCTCTGTTGTGGCATCTATGTAAATCGCCTCTTTTGTACTGTCTTCCTTTTGACAATAAAGCAAAATCTCAGTGGTTCATTGTTTTTATTTCAGAGGTGGTGCAGAACTCTTGTTTGATGGTGTCAAAAAGCATCAGGTGACTTTGCCCTGTCAACCGGAGCCTTGTGAGTATCAGAACCTGTTGGATAACTTGAAAGAATGACAAGTGAACAAAGAGGGTTTGTACAGCAGTTTCATCAGTTGGCAACAAGAATCAAATGTATTTTAAAAGCATTTTCAGACATGCCATGGATCAGCTGGCTTGGCAGATGATGGTTAGTCCCTAAAACAAATGCCAAGCAGAGATAGTGTCAGCATCTCTCCTGTCCTCTGATCACTTGTGAATCGGGTCCTTCCTGAAGACTTTTGCCTCCGTCCCCCTGCACAGGCGACGGCCTCTGAATGTTTCCATAAAGTCCGCATTTGTCTTGCTTGATACTTGAAACACCAACAACCTCCTCTCTCTCTTGTTTCTTGCCTGTTCAGAGGTTTCCAAGAGGCATATAGATATGTGTGTGCATGTATGTAGTGTATAGATAAGTGTGTTCGTAGCAATGTAGCATAAATATACTTTACTCCTTTGCTTTTCCAGTATATGTAATCATTCTACATTAACTATGCAGTTGAAAATGGCAAAGCTAATGCTCGAATGTGATGCTGGGCATCAGTTAAACTGAAGACTTGAGCATCCCACTGATAACCAGTTATGATCTCTGGTTTGTGATTTGGGGTATTGATACTGAGAAGTGCTGTACTAACTCTCTTGTTTCTCCATACGTGTGTGCATACTTCAGTTGCAGCGTAATTTTGCCACAGGTAAGTTTTGAATTCTTCCAGCTAGATAGCAATGCTTTATGCTATTTGAGACTGGGATTATAAACCGAAATAATACAAAGCATCAGGGAATGTTAACAACTAGTATCTCATGAATGGCTAATGCCTTAATCTATGTGCTGTGAACGTTCAGGCCTGAAATCTTCTTGCCGTGCCTGGAAGTAATTAGAGATTGGTAGAAGCACTTTTGATGCTTGAACTTAAGTATGTGTAATTCAGATATAATAGAAGCACTGGAGTAGTGTGTTATCTGGTGGTTAAGGACAGGGACTAGGGATCCAGAAGCATGACCTAATGCTGATTTGCTTTGTGAGTTTAGTCGTGTTGCTTAACTTTCCCCTGTTGCTAGTGAAGTAGTAGTGATACTTTGATGTGTCACAAGGGAGTTCAGCATTGAATTCTAGCACTGCTAAAACACTTAAGATCCTGAAATGAAAGATTGTAAGGAAATGCCAAAACACTCATTTAGTTGGTTTATAAACTTAGGGGCTAGAGCATCATTGTCTTCAGTGTTCCATAAATTTAAAGTACCCACTGATACCCACCACATTTGTGGTGTTCAAACCATGATCAGATGCTCAAGAAGAAGGGGTTATTACACGAGATCTTTATTTCTGCCAGGGGAAGGGGGGGATTAGTATCAGGGAATGATTCTCCTAGTCCTATGGTTGTCAGTGGTGCAGTTGTATGTGGCCTAATCCATTTCCACTTGAAGTTGCTGGGAAGACTTCTATAGACTTCACTAGGAGCTGAATTTATCCTAAGGGATCAATCTTTCCCTGAAGATCTGTCTCAGTCTCAGGGTTCAAAGTCATGATCTCCAGTGATTCATTCCAGATTCATCTAACACGTTATTGCTCCCAGCTTTTCCTGCTGCCTTGCTTTTTCAGATGCTGCTATCCCTGTGACACAAGTGACAGAATAGAGAGTGTGCCCACTTGCGAGCTCCCCTGGTCAGCAGCCTGCTGTCTCCGTGCGCGTTGAGTGAACAGGGAGGTTTCAGGTTTTGGGCGGGTTGTGCATTGCAGCGGCTGAGGAGCAGACACCGAATTGTGAGGCTTCTGCTTCAGCACAGGGAGGAGGTAGGCAGTTGTGCAGTTCGTGTCTGACAGTAAGGGATCACTGGAGACACCCCTTGTAATATTTCTGGATGAGAATTATGATGTAGAAGTGAGGAATCAGTAGAAAAGGATCAGAAACACATGAATAAGAAATTTGGTAAATTCTTGTAACCTTACATTATTCCTAATGCCTTGTATTTTCCTCATTCACGTTAAGAAAGTTTAATTCAGTTATCTCTGGATAAATAAAGATATCTATAGTATGTTCCCTGCTGCCCTCGTGCAGCCAGAATGACAATGATTAGAGAAATGAAACAGCTCGGCTCTACTCAATGCATCCTGTTGCTTACTTTACTGCGTATATCCATCACTTAATACTCTGGGGAAAGATCTCTAGCATGAACACTGCTTGAAGACCTGCACTTCTAACCCCATTTTAACTGATTTCATTAGCCCTTAAGCTTATTTTTGGCCATTTTGGTCTCCCTTACCCACTCTTCCTTTCTTTCTAGGTTATTTTTGTCTTTGTCCTCCTTTTTGCGGAGCAGCTGCTTCTCTCTGGGACGTTGGACCTGGCTATATTTTAATTGTTTAGGCATTTTTGTATATATCCTAGAGGTGAGGGGAGGTGGAAAACTGTATGAAGAGATACCTACAAATATTTAACTGAATAAAACAAACTGTGCCCCATAGTTGGCAAAGACAGTGCTCTCTGAATGATGATAGTGTTGTTTGAACAAATTCTTGTGTAGTCATTTCCATTTTCCTGGTAAGAGGCACGGGGTGGAAAGTAGGTGGGTTCCAGATCCAGTTAACTTTCTCAAGAAGATTTGATTCTCTGTCCTTTGCTGACGCCTGGAGATGGGCTCCTGGAGGGATTAGGAAAGGCAGGAGGAAGGAAAGTGCAAATGGGCCAAAAGCAAGCCATGAGGGGTACAGCCATGTGATGGGACCTATTTTTATTATCCAAGGGGCTTGTGGTATCCTAACATCAGTAAAACAGCAGTTCTTTATCTGCAAAGTGGAACTGTCTTAGCCTGCATGTTGAAGTTCCTGCCAAGCAGGAACTTAAAAAGGTGTGGTAGATCTGCACAGGCAGACAGATTTACATAAGCCACACTTTGTGCAGGACTGTGTAATCTTTTAGAGCAGTTGTGGAAAGAAGACCTCAAGTTAAACAAGAGTCTTGTCCCACATTGCTGGCTGTTTCGATGAGCTCATTGATAATGCTGTTAGAGGATCTAAAGGCATTAATGCCCTGTTGGCTTATTCTGCATAAAAACAGTGTGTGTGGGAGAAAGCAGCTGGGGGAATAACGATATTTGTCACACGGAGAGAGGATTAAATTGGCAGGGAAATCAACTTTATTTTCAAGCATCTAAGAGGCTATTAGAGACAATGAAGCATAAAAGAGAGAAACCCTAAATTAAAAACTGAAAATGTATTTGGCAGCCTCCTCCTGAAACAAGCCACAGTAATTTAACCAAGTGCTTCAGTAATCAAATAGATCATTGTATGACTGCTCTGCGAGCGATGCTGGAGCTCCTTCCTCCATCTCGCTGGGACTCACAGTGCTGGGTTTGTCTGTGGCCATGCAAGTTGCGTGGACGCCGTTGGAAGGGTGGGAAGTGACTTGTTTAACCCTTGTAGTCGTTTCAGGTTTAGCTTGGCAGCACCATGCTGATGGAGAGTGTTCACAAAACCTCTCTGCTGTGCTCTCCGCTGGATGTTGTACCCAGAGGTTGGGGCTGTTTGTAAAGTCTCCAGCAGTTGTGCTGCTCAGCTGCGGGTCCAGGCCTGCGAATTCCGACTGCCCCCATGGTTTCACTGATGGGGCTTGTGTTTCTGGAGCAGCAGTGACTGGTTTCAGCAGTGGTCGCTTGGACCTTCTGGGGTAATCAAGAATTCACTGTGTGTTTTGGCACTTATAACTCTGAAAGGATAAATTTTTAATCAGCATGTTTCGGTAATTGTTTGTGGTTTCCCTTTACCAAAACCCCAGGGGAAAAGCCTGTTGCTAATCAGATTTTTTTTTAGAGAGAAAATTAAAATAATGTGCCAAGTGTTAAATCCCCGTAGAGAAGAGCATGGTCTGGTCCTCGAGAGCTTTGCTTTCCAGGGGCCTTGTTCTGCACAGCATGGAGGACTGCTGGGGAGTTGGGAGCATTCATCTTCTCGGAAAAGAGCCTGCGGATCGCGAGAGATCAGACCTGTGTTGCAGGCAGAGTGGCTTAAAAAGTACAGCATGGCACGTGTTCAGAGTTGACTGGGATGCTATGCCAAAACAATGTGTAAAATCAAGAGTGGCAGCTGGCATCGGTTGTCCGTAAATGCCCAGTGATATCGCTAGGTAATACATCGTAGTTAGGTTATTAATACTCTGGAATGCTTTTGTTGCTCTGTTTATTAATCCTAACGTTTTGAAACTTGCTCCAGAGAAAGAATGAAAATACATTTGGTAGTGCAGAGACTTATTAGAAGAATAATAAAAAACCCTCCATAGCTCTGTGGAATTTCCTGCAGTCAGATCTTTTTAACCACAGTGTTTGGTGCTTGGAGGGCTCTGGGGTTGTTCCCCTACTTGTGCGTCTCTCTTGGGCAGGTAATTATGTATTTGCTGGCAAGGAAAGGGGGCTCGGTGGGTTACGCAGGGTGGGAGCTCCGACTGGGCTGGCTCAGCCCTGGATCCGGGCTGCTCTTCCCAGCCGTCGGTGTGAGCAGCCACG